AATAAAAATTGATAGGACAGTTCAAAATATAAACAGGGACCAAAAATTTTATAATATTGCAAATTCAAAGTTGTTTTGTTTATAATCAGTAGTTCAATTCAATTGTTTTATAAAATAGCTACTACTATTCGAGCCAATTTCTTAAAACCTGTGGCTAATAGTTACATAAAGTACATGCCCCCGTCATTCCACCGGATGCCATACTTCTTAAAGCGCTACAATTTTCCAACCCAAAACAATACCATTCGGTTATCATCATTTAATCTCTATATTAAAACAAATAAATTTGGTACTAATTCTTTATTAAAATTAAATGCTTATACCTACGTTAAATTGTACAATGTATTAAAATTTATTTATATCTAAACTCCGCCTACATAACTCAATACAATGTAATGAATATAAAATCGCTAGAGCTAAAATAGCCGTTTCAAAAACACTTTTTTCATCTCTAAAGGCATTAATTAGGCTTTGCCGCTTAGATGTTTAATTAGTTTATTAAATTAGAGAATTTAATAAACTAATTAAACATCTAAGCTGTTGAATTCGCTTCCTCTCATCAAACTTCAACTCCGTTCCAATTTTTTGTATACAACAAATTGTTCTATAGTGAATATTCAAATTATAAGAGACCATAAAAATTAATACACGGGCATAGGCTTTGAAACATTAATGATGCCAATTGAACCTCATTTGTTCAATAACGACACTTTTGGCTCAGTTTGTAGTGACCCTACTTGCTGTGCCAGCGGTCGCGGGTTCAAGTCCCGCTGGGGGCATTCATTTGTGTGATGAGCACGAATGTTTGTACTCCAGTCATGGGCGTTGATATTTATAATATGTATGTATTTAAAGTTATATATATGTAGTGTATCAACCATCTGGTATCCATAACACAGGCCTCGCAGCTGACCATGGAACTAGATGGTGCTGTGTGTTAATGTCCCAACATATTTATTTATTTATATCTAAAACGAGTTACTTATTAGTAGCGCCACGAGATATTAGAAGCAAAAATATAAATCGCCATATGCCATTCATAGCAAGTTTTTCCACGCGGGCGGCGAACTCGCGGCCTTGCGCCTACGCTGCCACAAGCGAGACAGTACGCCGGATGTCAGGCTGACAAAATTAGAACGATCCAAAATTAACCTTTATACAATATAATAAAATCTCTATTTGTTTATCTATCTCTGCATGTTAAATGTATAAGTTTAGTTTAGTCGATCGATATCGAGTCGATAGTTTATATATTACGTAAATAATGTTTAAATACGTCTTACAATCTATCTGTGAAAAAATGCTTTAAACACCTACTTATAATCTATTAGAATTAGAATAAAAATTTGTAAAAATTTTGTAAATAAATAACGGCTCACCCTCGCTTCGCTCGGACTCGCCTCTAGACAAACAAAAACAAAACTACCCCACGGGAACCGTACATTTTTCCGGGATAAAAAGTTGCCTATTTGTTATTTTGATGTATGAATTATATTATTGTAAAGATTCATTAAAATCCAATCAGTAGTTTTTGTGTACTAAGCTGTATAAGTTACTATAGTTTTTTTTAACTATCTCACGAGAACTCTTTAACTTTCCGGGATGAAAAGTACCTAAAATGTTGACCTTGGATATATGGTACCAAATTTCATTTAAATCGGTCCAACGGTCCAAAAGTTTCGGAGCTTAGCCCGTACAGACAGACAGAGAAATAAAAAATCTGGATTTGTTCTATTTCTCTTCTTACATCCCTGACTCGGTTTTTACTTTTTAGCATTTTTTTATATGTGTACATATTCGACCTCTACAGTTTTATTATATACTAGCATTGTCCGCGGCTCCGTCCGCGTTCAGATGACCAAAAACCAAATTCTTAGGTTTTACATATTAGTATACCCTTGTATTGCAGTTTTTGTATTTTTTCTCAGAAATTAGATATTTTCCCGCTGTAAAAAGTATCATAAATGTTGACCCGGATAACCAGCTATTACCATACCCATCAAAATCCCTCCAGTGGTTTTTCTGTGATGCGGTAACAGACAGACAGACAAAATTTTTAAAAATTATAGTTTTGGCCTCTGTATCTAAAATAATGCTTATTGCAATAAGATTTTCCAAAAAATATTTAATGGACAGATTCGACTTAGTTACAATTTTATTATATGTATAGATAATTACTTATGAAATAAATATTATACAAAATATACATATAAAATTTAACTGCAATCTGCATATTCCGCGCTTTTTGGTAATTTTGCACTGACAGGTTTTATACAATTCAATAAATGCCTTATTCGTAATTAATTATGAAATTAGCGCGCTAACATAAGCTAACATAAAGCTTTAAAGATATTATCGAGCTGTTTTTAATAACCCTGCGAAATGGATTACTAAAATAGACTGGGAGGTTTACAGTGGGGCAGAACGAACGTGTGGTTAAAACTAGCTAATTGGCTTGAATTTTTAACTAGTTAGTCACGAATGATGTCTTTGTGACTCAGTCACTCAGTTTCACGAACGAAAGATCACGAGATATTTCCTTGTATTCTTAAAATGTTATTGTTTGTTACCTCGTTTACTTTGTATTATTCATGATTTTCACATGTTGTAATAAATAGTCGATAATCGATTAACAATTAAATAAACAAACGAATCTAAGCACGGTAGTAAGGCTAATCCAAAGATGTTAGATAAATCGATAATTATCCAAATAACGGGATAAACATATTTTTATATAACGAATCTCTCCCCAGATGTGTGTTCAACTTGTAGTGGTTGGGGGGCTCATAAGCGTCTGGAAACCCAGCCGGGCGCGAAACCAAAAGACACACAGGGAGGTGGCCCATTTCGGTGGGCGGTGTACCATGCGGGTTGTCTCTGGTGCTTCTCTGACAGCAGAGTGGACCGTTGGAGCAACCCCTTGGTTGTATAGTCTGCTTCAGCATACCTGCAGTCGGGGCGTCATGGTTGAGTGCTTAAGCGATCCTGCGACGCCCCATTAGGACCGTTAGTGGTTAGACATTTAGTGGTTAGCACTGGCTTTTCTAGCCAGTGAGCCCTACATAATCATCTGTATGTATACAGGTATGCATAAATGCATTTTCCAATATTAAGAACAAAAATAAATACTTAATCCTATAATAATATCTATACATATAATAAATTAGTAACTTAGCGAAATCTGTACATGAAATATATTTTTAAAACAATAACTGTAACTGATATTTTGTACAGAATATAGTCTCCGAAACAATAGATAGTTATAATTTTTTTTGTCTGATAATGTGAACCGATTTTAACAAAATTTTGTGTAGTGATCTTATTACTCAGGCCAACATTTAGGATAGCTTTCACAGAAAAATCTTTAATTCCCACAGGATAATACAAGTAATTGTTTCTGTTGAGTCGGCCTTAGAATTTTACATGGATAAATGTGAAGTAGCTTTCCTATCCACAGCATTTGATCTAATATTTTGTACTTAATTTATATAGCTACTTATCATCAATCTAATATATAATAATCTATCTCTTACCTACCTATAATCTTCTCTTACTCTTACCTATAATCTATCTTTTTTATATAGTATATCCTCCAGTGGCGTTACCTTAAAATGTATTGCATTTGTAGTAAAGATCTTTATCGAATTATTTTAATTATATTTCCGCCAAACGATGATAAAATATAAATGTACAGTCACAACTGATTGAAATCAGCGAATACAATTTGATTAATTGGTACTTGACATGCTCTACTTCAAGATTATAGACTATTGTTGTCGACAATTATTTTCTAAAAATACCTGTCAATGTGGCCATGAGGGAAACAATATTTTACTAAGCGCAAGGTCACTACCTCTGCTAAAATACGCAAGCTTACAATGGTTACTTGAATAAGACACAAGAATCTGAAAAAATACAATTAATTCAAATGCCTAGTCTTTTTTTGGGTAACTTAAAGATAAACGTCTAACGTCTTCAGAAAAAACTAGCATCTCAATAACGACTAATAAAAGGGCCGTAACTTTCCTATACTTAGTAGTTAAATCCTTTTGGAATATTCCAATACTTCTCGGACTTTACGCTACACTGTGTCCATAATACCTATTCATCGTGTACATAGCTGCTGTACACATCCCTTACATAGGAAACGTATACTAATGTACGGACAGTGTTTGCGCAGGTGTGCAGTGTGTTCTTTATTCTTCAAATTATCGCTTCAAACAGACACGCACAGGAATGCTGACGCTCGGGAGTTCTAACTAATGTGGACACAGTCATTGGATGAAAAGAAATAACATTTAACATCTACCTATACAGTATTCGAATTTGTATTCGAATTTATATCCTTAGTCCTTACAACGCACTCGGTTTTGTTGGATTAAAAGTAATACAATATCTAGAATATACTGAGGTTTTATTTTTAGAACTAACCAATGACAAAAGTGGATTTCCCATAAAAATATTTGCATTTAATTAATATTATTCAAGAGGAAACTGATAGTGTAACAGGATATACATAACATGTGGTTCTACATAGTCATCATTTGACGAATGACAAGCTCATGTCAAGAACTAAGGTTCTTAAATATGAAACGGTTACAACAAAAGGCATTTGTTATTCCACGTCACGTATCCTTTACACGAATGCTAAGTTATATTATGCACACGAATTAAATCTATTTATAATGTTGACGTCGTCCGTTCCACATTCTTATCTCATCACCAAACGCGGCTCACGCAAGGATCTTACGCAGATGTACAGTTTTATACAAAGAACAACACATTACTATAGATTAATACAAACCACGCTGTTTAAGTCAATATAAAACATCTGCATACGACTTTACACGAAAAGCAAATAGTCATACCTTAGATATCCCTTTGTGTTTACTGATTGTGATAAATGTGTCATATAGGTTCAATGAGATATAAAATGTCGTATATACAGATAATGAATTAATAATTTTAATGAAAATTAATTATTCTTTACAGCTCGTCCAATGATCTCGGCGAGCCTCCCCGGCGAGGCGCTGGTCCAGCTGAGGCAGCTGCAGCTGAGCCACCTCTACCCTCCCCCGACCATGACTCCGGAGTTCCTGGCTCCGCCGCCGCGCCCGTACCCGCGCTACGCGCCGCGCCGGCCACGCGACCCAATGCCCGCGCCTCCCGCGCCTCCCGCGCCCTTCCCTCCTGTACCCAACACCTACCCCCACTTCCTCCCGCACCCTGCCTCCTACGCATCCTACCTGTACCGAGCCCGCGCGCCGCAGTCGCCGGCCTACCATCCGCTGCGTCCTCGCCCCACGTCGGGCTTCGTGCCTCCGTCGCCGGCGCCACACTCGCCGCACTCGCCGCCCGTGTCTGCGCCCGCGCCGCAACCTCCACCCAGAGAGGTAACCAATCGTCTTGAGAATTACTTTAGTACTCTATTGAAACCACTGCACGATCTCAGGTTATGATATTTTTTTATTGCCTTTGTAACATATTTAGTCCTGATCTCGAGAATCGTGAAGTTGCGTATGATCCTACTTTTCGTGACAGTAAAACACAAAGTGAGTTACTACAATGTCTGCCAAATCCTTGGGGATATAGCGTGAGCTGTAAAATATTATTGATGAATATGATAATTAATCCGTTATTCGAATTAGTCACTTTTTATGCAGAAATATAATTATAATAGGTATATAATATAACAATAGACGAAGAGAGCGATTTCAATATATAAGAATAAATTATAAAAATATGAAAATTAAATGATCTTAAAAATTAATTTACATCTTCAGGAGCCTCCAACATCTCCAGAACGCGGTGCCCCAACTCCTCACTTCTGCCGGGGCGCGCTCATACGGCTGGAGGATGGCACACTACGGCGCGTAGAGGAGATGCGTACAGAGGACTTCGTGATGAGCGCCGAACGCACCGGCGACCTGGCGCTCACGCAGTGCACGCTGTTGCGGCTCGATGAGCGAGGAGATCGCCTAGCGCTCACATTTACTTATGATAGAAATCGCTCACAGGTAAATAAATATCATTTTACACAGTAATAGATATATGTTGTTAAATCAAAACATGGAAGATGCACCCAAGATGGATTCCAAGGTATCTAATTTGAAAACTTCAAGAATTCTATTTTGTCATATATGTACTGTTACTATTTAAAACTCAAAAATAAAGTGGTAGACAATTCGCAAACAAACAAATTACATAATTTAATGTCAATAGTTGTATAGTCGTATCTATGTTTGTTATGATAAATAAAAGATAATAAAAATATATTATAATATTTACAGGTGGAGCTAGAATCAACAGTAGAACATCCATTTTTCGTGTACGGGCGAGGTTGGGCGTCGTGCAAACCTGAGCGTACACTAGCGAGATATGGATTAAGAGTACAAAGGTTGCAAGTTGGTGACGTCTGCGTATCGTTAGTCGCACGCAAGCATACGGTGCCTTCTACCCCAATGGGAACCGCTCTCGCAACCGCACCGCCTCAAACACACCCAGAGAACCTCAGTGTAAAGGAAGACGCTCGCAAGAGGCGCTGGTCAGCCTCAGACGTCATAGACGAGGGCCCCCCTTTAAAGAAACGTTGAACGGATCTGCCGTTCGCCGTCGCTACGAAACAAAAAGATATCTAGTTTGTTAACCTAGACTCCGTCGGGCCTTGATGAGTTTTACATTATACACGAGTCCAAATGCGGGGCTCGAGACTGGTATCGTTAGTTTATGCCACGAAATTTCACGTCGGTAGATTGATCGCCCAGTGAACTAAGTCATGTATTTGAAATATTATCGGTAATGTGAAGTTTCTACAGCGATCGGCAATACACAATCGTACGCTTATATTCTATTCGGAAACTAGGTGCTTTTTTCTGTCGGGTGCTTCTATATGCGTTTGTGTACAATATTGTAAATATGTAACTTAGGTCAGTCAAACTTACACTCTACGTTAAGCGAACCTATCTCAAAACTTGTTACAAGCTACAACTGACGTAACTGGCAACATTCTTAAAATACTTTATCTCGTCATCATACATACTTCAATTGTTGTACTTTTATCACACTCCATAGTATATTTTGCAATGTGTCTATTTATAAATAAATACCTCTAAAACGAAAATAAAAAAATATATAGTTTGGACGGTTGTCAGTTATAGTTTCACTAGTTGTAACGCTAAGAATTACGCTACGATTCGAAAACGCTCTCGATTATGCTCAATAGGTGCTAATAATTTTGCTACAAGATACCTACATATAAGCGTAGTGTGGGAGATCTTTCCAGTTTCTCTTTATGATAATTTTTATATAAAATGACTTAAATTTACAACCAAAGTTTAACTATATTTGGAGGAGATAAAAAACTGGACAGTCCAATGAATAATCATAAACTTCCAATAGCAGATTAGAACCATAATTTAGTACGTCGTGAGATAAACGATCACATGAGCACAAAAGAACACGTTAACTACCAGATCTTAATATAGGATAGATATTGTGATAACTATTGAGATTTAAAATCTACCGGTACGTCAATGAATGTGTAGAGAAAGAAAAAGGTACAATGAATGTTTGGTGGTTATAAGTGCAATGTGCTTAATATTGACTGATTCTAGATTCGTGGGTTTTCATTATCATTAATAGTTTGGAGCAGTCATGTCACCCTGTAGAAAAATTCCAATAGAATCCCATCAAAAGCGACAAAAGCCACATAGAAACCAATAAATATGTATTGGTTTCTATGTGGCCTTTGTCGCTTTTGATGGGATCCTATTGGAGTTTTTAAATTGGGCGCAGTTCCGTTGTTCCATGGTTGTGACTGCAGACATATCCATACGCATTGTCGTTACCCTTGTCCTCTCGCTGTAGACGAAGCGAGCGTTCATTAAAATAGACTTAACTCCTTTTAGTAATTAGAAATTTCGGCGACTGTAGGTTCTCTGCTGAACTAAATCTTCTGACAAATAATTTAATGTTTAATAAAGTTGTTAATAAAAATCATATATTGTATAAAGTAATATGTCTAATGGTCATGGTTTTTAGATGCCATCTCTATTGGTTTTGACGTCCATGTGTGATACACAGAACTTTTCTATGAGAAGATGTATACATAATAAACACACCGTCTGTGATATTTTGTAGTTATTGGTCAGAATAGGTATGAAGTATTGCTTGATTAAAAATATATATGTTTTAGAATAATAAGTGCGATATTGGTAAGAAATGTATAGTTATTGTATACTCAAAAGTAATACACAGATTTAATAAAACTTAAATAAAACATGTAGAATCTGTGATTAATATACATATATCGTTACCGATGTAACGACAGGAGCATGGCCATATCATTATCAAATTGATTTTATATTTAGTGATCATAGTAAAGTTTTATCAATAATTTTACAAGTTACTTTTATCTTGCATGACGCGAAAGAATTTACTATAACGATTCGAACGTTTCCGAACTTTTATTGATAACACTAAAGAATTCAGTTTAATTCAGAAGGAGTTCAAAATTCCTTACCATTGCATCTTTGCACATGCCATTCATCAACATATAGTGTCATAAGGACCGGTGATATTGCAAATCGTCACAATAGATCAGATGCGTTATACTTTCCTAAACTTTCCTGAATACAGTCAGTACACAAGTTAGTAATGAATGGTTAGATTTTGAGAAAGTTTCATTGTACCATAAACTGTTACGTGCTTGTTAATTGTATGTTAAATATATTAATCGATCGTGTTAGAGTAAGATGTGCATCGTCGGCGACGGACGGTGTTGTAAAAAAGTTAATAATTTGTTGTGTAATGTAATTCTAGGTTTATCGTCTTTATTATTATTTGTAATTGTAATGAAAGATCTCATTTTATTAATCGGTATTTTCTAACAAGGCGCTTTCATTAGATCATGACTAAGCCTACCTCACAAACTTTAAGACTCGGCGAAGGCAGTGGCTCGCTCGCGGCGGCGCGAGTGACGTCACGCTGGCCAGTCGCTATCAAGTCTAAGCAAGATCTCAATTTGATGAAAATAAACTTTTAAAAAGACTGGGACGCTTTATTGAATGTTGTGGGATAGTAGTTTCTTCGAAGATATTACTTAAATTATGAAGATAGGAGCATTTATTTTGTAAACGGGCGCACGACGCCCCAGTTTCGACAGGATGGACAATCGTTTAGTACAAAATTCGTTACAAAAAGTATTATTTCCCAAAATCCAAATTCAAAAGTATTAATTTATTTTCCAACAAAGGTGCTATGAGGTGAACGTTGTCGGAGCACAATCGCGAATGGCACGAAGTTTTCTTAGCGAAGTTTTTTTATCTTTGCGAATTATTACATATTAATTGGCACAATCGATGTTCTTCCGCGCCTTTGATATACTAAGTGCGTTAATTATTATTTTTAAAGCTAAATTTGTATGAGTCCCTGCAGTTAGATGCGTGGGCACCCATTATTTAAGTCATTCCTTTGCACTTATTTATGGATGTTAGTGATTTAGTTTCATAGAAACAATTTTTTAAATTAGACCCAAATTGCAACAAGTATACCGTTTAATGAACAGCAAAATGTAGTAATTTGAATAAGGGATTCTGTTTCATTACTGTTTCCTTTTTAATATTAACTGATTAATACTAATCGAAAATATAACATACCAATACAAAATTCCCTCACACACGTTGCTTATCCTCAATAAACAACTTAATTAAAATACGAGTACGAGTACGAATATTATGTTATATTTTTAAAATTTTACATAACCATCACTGTTTTATAAACCTATTGTAACCATTTATAATTTTCAAGTATTTAATGTTTCACAGGATAATTTGCATATTTCCTTAAATACTTATGTTAAAATTGTTTTAATAAGTGTTGTTAAGGGTGCGTGATGTGTCTGTGTACGATTAATTAAGAGTTAAATTAGTTACATCAGTGAACACTAAATATTTAATGTAATCGTTTTAAAGTTGCCAATAATGAATACGGCCAGTAATGGTTCATAATTATACCTACCTACTATAGCAACACTGACACAAATGATTGTGCCATCCTTTACAGTCTTATCGATATTCTATAGATTATCGTTGTTTTTGGTAAGATACCGACCAAAGAGGTAAAGCCTCAGTATATAATATTTGATATTATTCCATCTTACCATAAATAATTTTGTGATAACATATTGAGAACAGATTATATAAAAAATGTTAAAAATTTTCATCGCAATTTCGACCAATTCTTACACACTGTTTTCAATATGTAACGATGTAGAGAATGGGAAATGTTGTGTCATTTAAATAATAGATAAATAAATATAAATTGTTATATAATTATATGACAAATATGGCAAATATATATGTATATTTTATTGTATAGTGAAAGTACGAGTACTATTTCAGATTAATGTAAATGGAAAATGTTACGAGATATGTTAAAACTAAGTTAACTGTTTGTAAAAAGAAAGAGAGAATATGTATAACTGAATATTTGCTATGAGTTGGTTTTATTTTACATCCTTATATCCGATTTCTTGCGTATCACACTATTTGAACAAATATCTTAATTAACCTCATAAATTATGTAATACACGTTGTAGGGAAACTCTAAACTACCTCATATTGAATGAAATAATAGTCAAAAGATTTGGCGAAATCTGTATACATAATATTTTAAATATAAATAATTATGACCAAAAAGCTGTAAAGTTCACTTTAAATATATGTATATATTTTTTATTTCGTATTCTATGTATTTATCATTGTTATGATAAAGCTTTATGGACTAAAGTGAAATTAGAATTAACTAACTCTTATCCTCTATTACAGATGTCGCTTAAACAAAAAAGAAATTATTATTAATTAAAACATTTATTGATACAATAATTCAGAATGTATACTAAGAGTATAAATACACTAAATTTATATATCGGAATTGAGATCCAAAACTACTTTCTCGCCTGGCTTAAAAGCGGGCATTCCGAGGTATGGACACGTAGCACATCGGAAGGCATCTCCTAAGTAGCACTGAAAAAAATGTTGTTAATTTCATTACTCGTACTTAAAACCAAATATTATAATATATGGATACATTTATAGAGCTTCTTATTGAGAAGTATCAGGAATTTCAGCGACCGCTCTACATAGCCTTTATAGATTACCAAAAGCCTTTGACACTATACTCTATTCATACATTTATTACGTTAAATTAATTCAAACCTTTTTAGAGCAATCTACACAGGGAAACTTAAGTGGAAGTCAAGTCTAGCTAACACTACTAAATATACTGAAGGTTCAAGGAGGTAAAAAAGTACTCCCTATAGTCACTGAATAGACTTCAAATTATTTATAAAAGGAAAATATATACATTAACATGGGGTCTTATCACGAACATAGAAAAAATAGTTCAAATAAATGTCAATAGATGACGCTACATGTATCGATTTGTTATCAAGTTGTGTTAAATTATAACAAAAGATAAAAAACTAGACCAAAAAAAGATTATATTGAAAAATATTATTGTGTTGTAAAATATTCTAAGTGAAGGGAAAAGAAATACATAATTCGCCCGTAAATCAAATTTGCGTTATTTTATTGATGATTGAAATATCAACAATCAGATGATGGCTATGTATTCAACGCTTTTACTTTTTATGAAGTGTTTACCACAGTTAAGAATTATTAAAATCACAGATTTTTTTTAAAATGCAGGATGCATTTTACAACTTACTTTTTTATTTAATGTATGTCAAGGATTTTTCTGTAATTAAATTTCTATGATCTATATTATATATTAATTATTTCCACATATCTATAAAATAAATCAGTTTAACTATTTGCGAATCAACGACATCTATTAATTATCCATTCAAAGCCCGAATTAGCCCTGTCCAATTTCTTTGTATGGATGAGGCATTTGTACTAGTATAATAACTGATCTGTGATATTATTAATATCAATAGATCGGTTTAACTCTTCGTGTCGCGGTCTTCGTGTATTGCAATAAAAAAAGTAATTAAATAAAGGCTTCTATCCAATTATGTATGTTGTATACATAAATATAGTTTATAGGTTATTTTTACTTTTTTTTTTTTTTTTTTTTTTTTTTTAATCTTTATTTGAAGGACTTGTTCACATAACAAAAAGCGAACATGTCGTCCTTGTAAATTTTACACATGGACAAATAACGAGTAAATACTTAATTATAAATAAAATTATGCGCAGAGTAAAGAATACATAATATAGAAAAGATTCTACTAGTTTAGCGGACATAGCAATATTATACTAATTTAATATTATTACAGATACAAATAACAATAATTATGTACCGTCTTGACTAGATCTAACACGTAAGCCAACCTTGGTTAATTTATACAAAGCTTTGGCATGATCTGAACAAGGATTTGCTAACATTATGTTACAGCTACCAATTTGTTTTAATTCGTGATAATTGTTAACAAACATATTTCTCCTCATGCGTTCGTTCCGAGTACATTCCACTAAAATATGATACACATCTTCGGTTTTCCCACATTTAGTGCAATTCGGTGATACGGCTTTATTCATCTTAAACGCGAAATAATTCAGTGGAATATGCCCGGAACGCACTCTTAACCCTGTCACAATAGAATTTCTGTCTAATCTACAAGACTCAAACCAAGGCAAAGAATACGGGTCAGATCTCAAGATCCTATACCAAATCCCTTTATTTACCGATGTATTTTGAAAGTGTGCGGTCCACAACTTATATACATATTTTTTAAGCAATACTACGATGTCATTAATAGAAGGTAACACGCTGAGTGGTATACCTTTTGATACTGCGTCATTCGCTAATCTATCCGCACGTTCATTACCTGCCAATCCTATATGAGACGGAATCCATTGAAATGTTACCCTCTTATTTGATGCTTCCAGCTTACATATAGCCTTCAATATCTTATATGCTATCGGAGCTCCTCGAAAAGTCGAGGTGCACCGAGCAATATGTTGGAGCGCGCTTTTGGAGTCCGTAAAGATAACAAAATTTTTGAAATTACTAATACTGCTGATATACTCCAAAGCCTCATACAAGGCAAACAACTCAACATACATAATAGAAATTATTGATTCAATTTTAAATTCGATATCAGTATGAGATTGAGGGTCGTAAATAGCAGCTCCGATACCTTTTTTGCATTTAGAACCATCTGTGTATATTTTATAAAAATTTCTATATTCAATATTAATCATTTCCAGACTATTGCTTTTTAAAACCGTAGCATCTACTAACCGTTTTGACTGTCTAATGTTATCTATAGAGCAAAATATCTTATTATCTAAATTAATATTTTGTACCCATGTGTCAAGACAAAACATTTCCAATTTTCTAGAAGATCGAAAAGGGTAACATTTCAATATTCCATGGACTGACGCTAAGACTGGTTTCTTTTTATTCGCCCAATAATTCGAATTATTGCATTGTACCGACAGCTGACCGATTACATCAATATTTCCATTATCTTGTAAAGCACGACTCTTCAACCAATACTTTCCTCCTAGGTAAATTCTACGAATGTGAAGTGGTTGAAGGGCTAGCTCACTTTCCATTACGTGTATTGGGGTACTCTTGATGAACCCCCCAATCACACGCATACACTGATTTTGAACCTTATCAAGTTTATAAAGATGGGATTTAACACTTGTATCATATATAAAGCTTGCATAGTCCATTCTACTACGTATAACCGAAATATATAATCTCCTTAAATGTTTAGGATGTAAGCCCCAGTCAGTGCCAGCTAATATTTTAAGAATATTCAAATATTTTTGAGTCCTGTCAGTAATTTCGTTTATATGCTTCCCCCATTTTAAAGACCTATCTAACCAAACCCCTAAATACTTAACACTTTCTACTAATTGAATTCGAGTTCCTTTTAAGTTGATGTTTACTTCCTGTCTATTAATCCCTTTCCGAAACAAACATATTTTAGTTTTTCTTTCAGATATCTCTAAGCCAAGACCTTCAACCAGTTCACACAATTTATTAAGAGCTAACTGCAACTGTACACATCCCTCTCCTATATACTTATATGATCCGTATAGTACGAAATCATCAGCGTATTGAGAAATATGTGTGTTAACAATATCATGGCAAATATCCCTAGTAAGTACATTGAATAAGATTGGAGATAAAGGGTCTCCTTGTGCAAGTCCACGATTTGTTGATCTGGTAAGGCTACCGGAAACTGAGTAATTTATACTTAATTTTCTAGCACTCAAAAACTCCCATAAGTAATAACAGAACTTAGACCCTATCCCAAGCCTATCCAACGCATTTAGTAACACTATTATATCAACATTGTTATAGGCGCTGTCAATATCCACAAAACAGCCTAAGGTTATTAAATTATTAGCAAACCCCAATTGAATTTGAGACACTAATCTAGTAAGACTATCTAGACATGAACGACCTCTTCTAAAACCTACAGTATTTTTCGAAAAGCTATCATTATATTCTAAGTACCATTCCAATCGATTTTTTAAGATAGTGTGAAAAATTTTACAGGGACACGATAAGAGAGCTATAGGTCTTACTTCAGGAATAGATTGTGTAGAGGAGCTTGCTTTTGGTATGGGAACAATTTTAGCTTTTCTCCATTGAAATGGTACAAATCCCGATACAAGAAACATGTTATAAATCTTGACTAATATATGCTTTCCATTCACCGGGAGGTGTTTCAACATAGAAAAGGATACAGAATCGTCACCTGGGGCCGTATCTTTGGCTTTAATAGCACGATTAAACTCCTGAATTGTAATGGAACTCTCCAAGGTTGTATTAACAGAAGTAAATTTTGGTTTTCTTGAAGAAGTATAATCAGGCGTCAGGCTGCGTAGTAATCTATTGGCTGTATCCTCATCGATGTATGTCTTTGGTAATCGATATCCCTTAATCCATCTCATTCGGCGCAGCATCTCAACGGTTGAAATGGTTTCATTAATAGTGTTGCAAAACTGTCTCCAAGCTTTACGTTTGGCTCTGCGTATAATCCTCTGTGCAAAAGCGACTTTTATTTGAAGTAAATCCAAATTATTTGGCGTAGGGTTCTTTCTAAAAGTAACCAACGCAAGTCTTCTTTCTGCAACTGCCCTTGATATGTCTGAATTCCAGTACGGTTTCGGTACAAATTTCTGTAGACGTAAAGGATCTGTACACATTCTTACCGTGGGGATATATCTATCTGCCGCCGAATTAACTGCATTAATAAATTGGTTATAAGCTTCCTGAGGATCACTTGCCAAGACCAAAACAGAGAATATTGCATGTAGGGTGCGCCTATATTCCTCCCACTTTGCTTTTTTGAAGTTCCTTTTTTTATTATCAGCGTCAGTCGCACAGCAATTAGCGGTTGTAAATTTAATAATAAGGTGGTCACTTCCTAAAGATTCATTAAGAACCTTCCAAATGAAATCCAACGCAATGTCATTAGTTACGAAGGTAACATCCGGGGAAGATTTTGAACATTACCATTGACTAACTTAAGCCGAGTTGTAGAGCCATCATTCAGGTTAACATAATCTTTGTCAACAATCGTATCAAACAGCTGCGTTCCTCTTACATCTGTTTTGTACGACCAGTTAGAGTGGTGACCATTAAAATCCCCAGCAATAATAGTTTTATTATTATGTAAACTAAACACTGAGTCCCAATCATTAGCTACTGTATGCACAGATGATGGGCAGTATACAGAAATAATGAACTCTAAATTAGAACAGTTCAATAGTTTAATTTCAACGAGTTGAATCCCTGGATTTGCACACTGTATCTGACGTGCCTGAAACATTATTGAGTTATGAATAACAATGGCCACCCCACCGTATCCATCGCCGCGATCCTGACGAACAATATGATAGCCACTTATCCTTATGCTCTTGTTTGGATCAAGCCATGTCTCGCTCAAAATAGCAATATGAATTTTTTCCTGTGATAAAAACTGTTCAAACTCCACTATCTTCGGATGAATACTTTGACAATTCCATTGTATGATGTTAACTTGTGTGGCCATGTTTAAATAAGTTTTTAAAAACGGACATCTCAGACACCCACTCCGTGACAAAATATAACAACCAATCATAAACAACTTCTCCACACAATTTTACTTTCTTCCCAAAGTTAATGTTTTTCATGAAAATTATCTCCTGGATTCTCAAAAGTAAACCTTGAACATCAGTTTTCTCACATTCTTCCTTGTTTTCGTTCCCCTGTACTTCTTCTTCTTCAAAATCTGACTGTATTCTACTCTCATCTTCCACTGAAACATCTTTTCGCTTATCACACTTTTTCTTGGACTTCTTAGCAATTCTATCGCTTGTCTTACTACTCTTGTTATTACTTTGTTCTTTAGGCAAACTCGATGCATTTCCTACCACCTCAGCATATGACGGTCCATCACCTGTCGTCATTGGAATGAGGTTACATAAGCCTTCATTGGGTGCACTCACATTATCCGTCTCGAATTGAGGAGAAGGAGGGACATATAGAGTAAAAGCCATTTTATATGTGCAGTTAAATTCGGCCATCAGTTCTCGGATTCTCCTTTCCTTCTTATAAACCGGGCAAACCTTCGCCAGTGCCATATGATTGCCCTTGCAGTTGACGCACTTAAAAGATGTCGTCTCACAATTATTATGCATTTGACCACATTTAGGGCAAATAGTTTTCGTTCGAGAGCATTCCTTGTGGTTGTGACCAAATTTCCAGCATTTTGAGCACTGAGACACGGGAAATATAAATGGATTCACCTTTATTCTAGTGCCATATGTGAATATATAAGCAGGTAGGGAGGAGCCCTTAAAGCAAACCCGTACACATTCGCTGTCTTCAAAAGTACCACTATCAAAATTACGCCTTTTCAATCTTTTTACATTTAAAATTGGTATACTGCAACTTAAATCCCGTAAAATTTCATTCTCCTCCAGATCTAGATCGATATCCCTAATAACGCCATATGAGACGCCGACTTCGAAAGTTTTTTGGCACTTATATTCCTTATCAATAAAATATTTGTTATTAATTAAATCATCTGCACTCTCAAAATTGTTGAATTTTATCAAAACTTTGTAGGCGTTTACATATTTTATTCTCGTTATATTTTTAATGTTTTCGTTCTTAAGTAGACGGGCCAACCCTATTTGCTTAGGTAATTTTTCTTTTCTAGACACCATGCTTATTTCAATTTGTTCTTCTGGGATGGGGGTAGTATCATTATTATTGTTACTCCGCGCCATAACTTTTCCTCGTCTCCCAACCTCCGCCCATACCTCTTCTGTATCTATGTCACGACTTCTTTTATCCGCTCGATTACTACAGCTACCCGCTTCCAATTCCGTTAAATTTTCTATGTTAGTCTCCACATTCTCCTCGAACACACTACACATATCACTATTTTGAGATTCAGCCATAATCTATAGCTAAACAACGCATTGCAATTACTTATACAAATAAATAAGTTCGAACGTACTTATTATACAAAAACTGGTTACACAAACGACCTGCCACAGCAAGCGCGCGTGAGCCAATATATTTTTACTTTAAAAGATATTTTATATGTAATTTTACATATTTTAAAACTAATAATACATAGGCGACCGAGCTTCGCTAGGCGCTCCTTTAGTAGTTGCATCCATTGGCGACAATGCAAGTACAGAGATGAGAAGAGAATGAGAGACACAAAAGTTTACGAGATGGCGCTATATGGCTAGTAACTAATAAATAAATGAATTCTTTTTTGTGAAAAATTGAGTTTCTTCAGAAAAGACAACTATATAGATAAACTTAAAAAGCAAAACCTTATCTAAATACAGATCTAAATCATTAGAGCTGTTTCCAAAATACACAAAATAAATATTTATACTAGAATTATACACTTAATATTATAAAACAAAATTTACTTACACTTCCACAAGATGATTTAGGTGTTTCTTTAGTTTCACCCCTCAGCTCCTCAGCCAGGCCACATGAACAATCAGCACAGGCTTTTCTCTTACCCGTTGTTGCACATACTGAAATTATAAATCCTAAATAATTATATTGTAAATGATTACATTCATTTGTCCATTATCTGAGCTTACTACCTTACTTAAGGGTAAGGTATTAGTTCTGTTGCAACCGAAGAAAATTGTTAGAGATTATTTACAATGTTTTCTTGCAGTTATTGTATAATAAATTATTTATTAAGTTGAGTCAATAAAATTATATCTAGCAAGATTTATATATATAATATGTAGTACATATTTCTATCTTGTGATAGGAAGTAATAATAAATGTTTAAAATAAATGAAAACAAGTCTTATCATAAATTACAATTTAAAAAATTAAAATTAGCAGACTAAAACTTTATATATTACATGCAATAAAAAACGTATGAAAATGACATTAAAACACAATAATAAAATAAAAATATTTTCTTACGTATTGTTCATACGTCTTGAAACACAATACTTCAACACTTGCTCTTGCAACACAAAACCTCAACCTTCATATATTATTAAGATTAGTAAGATATGATACAGAATATTTTACTTATTATTTACTAGACAATTAAACATATTACATATAAATAGTTAAATAATAGTTAACATGTGTTTTTGTTTTATAAAATACTTAGGCAGGTATATTAGGTACCATAATATGCTATAAAAAATCCTTACAATAAGTATACATTGATAGACACAAGAACATAGACAACAACAAAGTGATTGTTACTTACTACTTTTTTATTTAATGTATATCAAGGATTTTAATGTAATTTAACAAATTATTTCATTTTTTATTCATGTTCTAAGCCATAATAAATATACTTAATTTCCTGTAGGATATACAAATTTACCTCTCAAAGACTGCTGGTCAGGTTTCTTAAGGTCATCTTCATCAAGAAGCATATCTGAGTCAATTATTTCATCATCATTCTTTCCTGTCCATGCCTCTTCAACCGTGTCATCTATTTTCCAAACTGTTGGCTTACTGTTAAGTTTTAGTGAAGCTTTAGAACCCACCTGTAAATATGATACAAATTCAACTATAGAAACAAAAAATACAAGTAATGATAATAAAAGTAATTAAGTTTACCTCAAAATTGGGCTTTTCTGCTTTGTGTTCCTTGTCAATTTTAGTCACATTTATAAATCCATTAAGTTTAAGAGAAGTGTTTAAGTCTCTTGTATCCTTTAAAACAAGTTTTCCATTTGGTTTTAAGAGTTTAATTATTAATGCTAATAATTGATCACTATGTTGTACTGCGTGTGGAGGTAACCAATTTGATAATATAACATCAAAAGACGACAAGGGCCTAGAATCTATAAAACATAACGATATGCATTAATAATACAACAAATAAACATACATATCTACATTTTTCTTTTTCACATTTGTCTTAGGTACCTTCTGCAATCCTACTAGAGTTTTCCAGAACTACGGATATATTAGCAACACTTTGAATTTCATTTACTAAATTGCTTAATTCACTTGGTTCGTTGTTACACCATATTATTAAAATATTATCTCCGCTTTTGATGTAATTCATAGTGATTGTTACTATTTCAATATATGGAAACTTGATAAATTTATAAGTCCATCCAAGCTAAAGGCGTACTATAGTATTCTATTCAATTTTATTGAATAATGCCTTTTTAATTTGCGAAGTTTATTTAACAATTTGAACCTTGAGGTGACACTTATATATGTAGCAATATACTCTATGGGTGACACTTGACGGCTGATGCTTGACTTGTCGAAAATTTGTCTATGGTCAACACTCAGATGGAGAAGATTTCTTGAAAAGAGGGCGCTACACGTATAATGTATTTACATTCAGTCCGATAATGAATTTATTATGATATCTCTTTTATACCTGGTTTTCCTTCTATTGTGTTCGCAACTCATTGATCAACACACAGCATTAGCCACTGGTCGTAGAAATGTGAAATTTGAAGGACGTATTTCTTTAATCATATAGGCGTCCGATAAAAAGCAGTTTTTCGAAATTCATCCCCTAAGTGGGTAAAATAGGGGATTAAAGATTGTATGAAATTCTGTTATTTTTAATGTGAAATACACAAAAATTATTTATTTTTTCCAAAATTCATCCCTTAAAAGGGAAAAATGGGATAATAAAGTTTGAATGGGCAAAGAATTATTTATGATCAGAATTACTTGAAACTTGGTATCAATGCTCTTCAATACAATTAAATAAATACGTGTTGTAGCATTTTCCGAAATTCAACCCCATAAGGGGGTAAAATGGGGGATAAGAGTTTGCATGAAACTGAAATTAATATGTAAAAAAGTGCAAAATATAAAAGAACAAATTTCAACTCTAGACGATTTAAGAGTTTTTTTAAATTTATTTTAAGGGGTTTTATTTCAAAAATACATGCCAGCCCTATCATATTTTAATCTACATAGTAACATAAACCGGATCTTAACAAAATTATATACCATTTTGGCTTCCTCAGAAGTAGGAAAGAACAAAATGGTATTAAAATTACCTACATCGAAACTATTTAGATTCAATGATTTAATTAGGTTTTTACTTTATTGGTCGTACCCGACACATTCCATTAATAATGATAAACATCTTTATACATTCCACATACAGCACAGTTTGGTGAGAGTGATTTTTTCATAAGAAATAAAAAATAATAATGGCATATGTCCCGAACGCAATCTATGTGCTATTTTAATTAAAGTTCTATTACTAGAAATCATATCAAACCAGGGACCATGAGGAGGCTGACATTGCAGAGTTCTGTACCAAAGAGTTTTAAAATCACTTTCTTTATAATGATGTCCACATAGCCTTAAATATAAAGATTGTCCTTTTGCCAATGTTGACCGTCTTATTGCTAAAGCCTACAATTTCTTCAGTTTTTGTCTTTTGGGAACAAAAGATTTCCATTTTCTTTGCATGCATTTAATTAAATTTAAAAAAATAAATAAAAAATCTATCCATGCTATAGAGCTTTACGATATACTTGGGGCTATAGAGCTCGCGACATTTGGCGGGAGGAAAAAGTACAATTCTTCCCCATTGGCGCCAGAAATCTGCCATTTGAAGTTTTAACTAATTTTATACAGCCTATAACACTACCGTTATCAAGACGAATCTAACGACGTATGAATCATCAAAATTAGGACGACGCGTTTGGTCTCTAGAACGCCACATTGGAACAAACATACATACATAGACTAATAAACATATTACCCTCTTTTGCGTCACGCAGTCGGGTAAATACAAGGCAAGAACATTGCAAAAATTTTGGACTTTGGCACACTAGTTTTTCAACGAATAATATACCCATTTGCTTCAAGTTTGAAATTTTAGTTATCCCGCTGTCAAATGTCAATTGTCATTGTCAAATGTCAAGTGGCAATAAATAATACATAATATTTGAAAATATTAGTGATTTCATAAAATAAATAATTTATTTAATTTACTACTAAAACTAAATTTAAAAATTATATTAAAATGTTACGAGAAGCATTTATGGCTGGTATTTGGTCTGCATTCGGGAGTACTTTAGGAAAACTGTCGGGTACTCCTACAGTAGTCGTAAGTATATTTAGTTTTTTATTAAAATAATAAATAACAATAAAATTATTATTTTTACTTACTATACTATAATATACTACATTTATATTATCAGGGAGACAGCTACTTTCTTTGGAGTTTTTTCTTGGCCCTAATGCTTCTAGTAAATACGTGGAGCTGCAGGTGCTATTTGCATTCACTAGATGCAGCTTCTAACTCTGTGTCCCCAACAGTTATTTCATCTGCATCTAGTTATATATTATCGGTAAGCTTGAATTGAAACTTAAAGATCATCCAAACATTCAATAATAAAACTTAATTGTTTAATTGTTATCTATCCTAATTAAGGTATTATATAGAAAATATAGTTAAAAGAAACAATTTTATAAATTAATATTAATTATATTAATTTATAAGCTCAACAGTATTATTCTTAAAATTATTTGCTCTGATACAAATAAGTAGTATTTTTCTTAATTTAATTTCAGGGCATACTAGGTGTGGTAATATTTAAAGAAACTTCATCATTCCAATGGTGGATAGGTACTGCACTTATAATCCAGGGACTAGCATTAATTGCAAGACAACACAAATAAGTATTAATAGTCCCGAGTTTTAACTCCTCTAACATTTAATAAAAGTCATGATTAGCAATCTTAAGTATTAATTAAGCATTTAAATATTTCTTACTTGTAAGTAAATTTATTCCATGTTATAGTTCAAATAAACCCAAAAATGAAGTTTACTTTTTAAATAAAGGTTACTGTGACTGTACCATAATTATGTATTAGCTATTTAAGTTAGATTAGTATAAAAATACCTTCAAGAAATCTTACCTTGAAGTACTTATTTTAATTTAAATAAACGGGTTTTAATTCCCAATGTGATATAATTATAAAATTTGTATATTTGACATTTTCAAACTGTATTTAATACATTATGTAATGAAAATGTACCTATTTATTTAAAAAAAAATTAAAATTTATTATAAATAATAAATGAAATAAAATATACTAAATGGCTTAATTTTCATTTGATATACCTAATAATAACTGCCCAGGCCCCAAACTTTAGAAGATTTTTTTATTTCTCATTAAGAATGAACTTTATAAAAAAAGAAAAGGGAAACATGAACTGACATTCTTTTTTATAATGTACACAAGAATAAAGAAATTTTGTTGGAGCTTGAACTTTCTACAAAGAAAGTGTTAACTATTTATGATTAAAAATACAGAACAGTGCTTCAAAGTTTTTTAATTATGTAATAAATGTAAGCTCCATATTTTTTAAAGTCTTACATAAACTTGTGTTATCTGAATATTATGATAAATCAAAAACAGTTTATATAAAAGACTAGCATTACCCGCGGCTCCGCCCGCGTTCAGATCACCAAAAAACCAAATTCTTAGGTTTTATATATTAGTATAATCTTACATTGCAGTGTTTGTATTTTTTCTCATAAATGAGATATTTTCCCGCGGTAAAAAGTATCCTATATGTTGACCTGGATAATCCTACAATATTTTTAGATATGAATATCTAATAGGTAAATATGGATTTCACGTATCGAAATATATTAGATTTGCTTTGCATCGGCTAGCACCGACTTCGAAAATATCTGATTAGATAGGAACCTAGTCTAAATGAAAACCTCCGTTTAGTTATTTTTTACATTTTAGTGCCTGGAAGTCAGATTTTTTTTAAGTATTTATATGACCTATAATTTTACATTGTTTTTAAAAAAAAACATTTACAGATTTTGCTTTGTTACTTTTTTTGTTACTTGATTATTTACCCGACTACTGCGAAGCCTAAGAGAGGGCTATGTATTTGACCATGTAAGTCAGGTATGTACTTATTGTACACGTTTTGCTGCGAGTCTCGCTACTTGTATGTATGTCTTCAACTGCATAATACTATGTTCCTTCGTCAGTTTGTTCTCATCTTTTTAGTTAGCTTTTTACGTAGTCGGTTTTTTTATTATTTGTATAGTTTCAAGCTTAATCGCGCCTTTTTTCTGGGTTATGTAGTGCGCTAGAACTCTAAAATCATGTAAAGATAATAATATTTGCATTGTCGTTACAAAGTAGTCCTGTAGGGCTTGAAGGCCACAAAAATTTATATTAGGTGTATAATAACAAAGTTCTGACCAATTTGGGTCATGGTGATTGGTGGCAAGTTTCGGCGGAGATTATAGGGACATGACAATAGTAATACAAATATATTTCCGAGACACGGGTATGTAAGTATTAAGTTGTAACACCGCCTACGTCCCGACTTTGGGAGATTACTGAGAATTTCTTGAAACAAGAACTTAATAACTGGTTGGCCTAATCCTGAACTCGAACCCAGAGGTCAGGACCTAAGGATCTGCGGTTGTACATGGCCACTGGTTAATGAAGCACTTTATAGGTAGGTACTTATATTAGACAGAGAAACTATATATCTATCTACTAATGCAGATAGGTAATATATGGCAGTTTTATTCAGAGACATACGTAGAAGACCATTAATAAATGAATCGATGTGGGCTTGTCAACTAAAATACAACAAGCTTTGAGCGGTATTTGTATAAGCTGTAAATAAAAGCTGGCTTGCTGTTAGAGAAATTGAAGCGAAACATAAAAACTGTTTTACATGCCAGTCGGCTTTTATATTAAAACATTGATACTTTCTTTTAATGCGTACATTTATTATTATTAAATTTTTAATGCTTATAATTTTTTTTTTTAATTAGGTAGGTACATATCTAATATATGTGTATTATATATTACTAGCCACTTACTCTCGCTTCGCTCAGGTTCATCCCCATTCTCACCCCCTTAAGGGATGATTTCCGGGATGAAAATTAATTCACTCACTCACTTTTCATATCATGAGATTTAAAAAAATCTTATTTTAGTAAAAAAAAATTGAGGAGCGAGAGTGAGTCGCTAGTAATATAATATAGTGACATTTAAGGTGTAGTTGAAGACCAAATAAAAACCGACTTCCAGGCACTAAAATGTAAGAAATAACTAAAGGGGGGTTTTCATTTAGAATAGTTACCTAATCAGATATTTTCGAAGTCGGTGCCAGCCGATGCAAAGCAAATCTAATATATTTCGATACGTATCATATATCACAAATTGATGTATAATATTTTAACTATAATTAAAGTTCATACCTAATCATATTTACCTATTAGATATTCATATCTTAAAATATTATCGGCTTTTATATTTTCCATTTTTAGTGTAGATGTAATGAGCAGGTAACTTGTAAGAAGAACCTTTTTTAATAACATATTCAATTAAGCAATCTATTTAAAAAAATATTTTATTGTAGATTTTTTTTAAACCATTCGACCGTTTTCGATAAAATTTAAATGGGAAACAAAAAAAATGCAAATCGGTTCAGGCGTCTTCGAGTAATCGATGAATATACATTAAAAAAAAAATAAAGATTCCGACGAATTGAGAACCTCCTCTTTTTTGGAAGTCGTTAAAAAACTTGATATCATGAATCACCGATGATAAAAAATTTTACACAAGTACAAAAGATGCCTAAATAACTATTTTAAAATATACTTATTACTTAGCTATACCTAAGACTTTTTTTTTAACGTTGGGAAATGCATTTACGCACGAGGTGTGGGACTCACCGGCAAAGCCAGTACTACCCACTAAAACCCATCAACTCTTAATGGGGCGTCGCAGGATCGCTTACGCATTCAACTACGACGCCCCGACGGCAGGTCTGCCGAAGCAGACCACAAGAACCATGGGGTTGCTCCAAGGTCCACTCTGCTATCAGAGAAGTACCAGGAGCAACCCGCATGGTACACTGCGCCCCGAAAAGGGTCATCTCCTACCGCCCACCGAAGTGGGCCACCTCCCTGTGCGTTTCTTGGCTTCGCGCCCGGCTGAATTGCCGGGCACTACTGGGCCTCCCCACCACGACAAGGTGAACGCACGTTGGAGGGGGGAGCTATACCTAAGACTAGATTAACTATATTTAAGATATAGTTACCCATAAATATCATAAGTAATTTTATTATTATAAGTATTGTTAGGGGTTTATCGTTGCTTATTTTACTAGAAATAAAAATGTTTGGATTTCTGTACTATATTCAATATATCAATATTTTCATGCCTCAACAACACAATTAATGCTTCATAAAGCATTTGTTTTGAGATGTGCGTGTACTCAAAAAAATCCATTAAACTACAATTTTTTTTATAAAAAATATCGAGTTAATTATTTATTTGTAATAAATAAGGGTAATCAAAGCAATGTAGAATAATAATTATAAAAATATTTATTTATATTTACTGTTTATATTAGCAGGGTTCCGCACTTCTGAAGATAAGGTACGAACTAAAATACCTATAACTATAATTAAAGAATAACATTATTTTTAAAGAGAAAAAAATTGTTGTTAAGTTTGATTATTATTGTACCATAATTTTTATTGTAATTCTTTTACTCATTCGAATACGCAAATCTTCGAGTAAAATAACTATGCTGTATAGACAGACGGACATGACGTTATAAAGTTTTTTGCCTCTATGCTACAAATAATGAAAGATGTTTATAACATACCAATATACTTTAAAATATATTATGTGTAATGTGCAATATTAGGTTATACTATACACATAACGAGAAGTATATAGAATTTAAAACATCGATATCGATAAGAAAACATCGACACATTACATCCCTCGAAGAGTTATAGACGCAGTGACGCTCAGCTCGGCAGTGGCGCGTCATCGGTGGTGGATAGCACACGTTTTGTTGCAGTAGAAATATCCCGCTTATTTTCCTTCGCCAAAAGATAGGATCGATAACACAAAGCCGCGTGCAAAACAAAAACGTCAGCCGAACTTCGTAAGCTCTCAATTGCGACTACGGGCGCTCATGTCATATTTTTATTATAAAGTTTTAATTGAGATATTGATAAATTCGCGTGACGACCGGCGTCAACAATGTATCCATAGTGACGCGGTGTTGACGGTTTGACAGCTATTTAGTACTATCTAATATCTATATTACAATACACATACTACATTTCAATTTTTATGATGTCAATTTATTTCATTAAAAATGTTAAAAATCAGATTTTTTTATTAAAAAGTATTAAAGCGAATTTTTATTTTTCTTAACCGATACTTAATATCAAGCAACAATGGGGAATGGAATGAATAAGGTAAGTTTTTTTTTCAAATTGTCAAAATTGCAATGTTTTGGCCAGTTCTGCGGATGCTAGCGCGTCAAGTTACGTAACGGTAATGTAGCTGCTACGATCTGTCGTAGCCCGTAGCACCATAGCCTGTACATCGAACTTTGCAGTTAAAGTCATATCTCTAAATTATTATATCTGTAAATTATGTGATTCCAAAGTTTACTTTTATTATTTCATAATTTATTTTGGTTAAAAAATATTTTAATTAAATTACAAAAAACAGTTATAGTTTTCTGTGATTTATTATTTGTTTAAATTATTTCGTACGAACTCAAACAACACAATGTCTTTTATTTTTACTTCATCTGGCGTAACGGAAGGACGGAAAAAATTATCACCTTGTACACGCATTGATATGTGATTATTTTTTTTAATATCCTTTGCCAGCGTAAAAAATAGTCCATGATAGAGTCAATCTAAGTCAAAATATAAGGGTTCCAAATTTGAACAAAATTCACTCATAATTAGGCGTAAAGAATTAACTCATATATACATATTACATTCACCCCCTAAATGACAAGCTTTCGAGATTATAATATGGTGTGATATCATTTCTAAAGTATGGGTATTAAATTAATGTATTTAATACAATAAATAGTTTATCTTATTAATCTTTGATTTACAATTTAATACCTGAATTACAGACATATTAGTTGACTGGGCACTGCCTACATACGTCATAGGAACACGCCTAATGTGAAGCGCAACCTGTATCTACGAGTTTCCTCGCTCCTCTTAGCAAAAATCACTACATATTCGTAGTATAAAACAAAGTCGCTTTCTCTGTTCCTATATCCCTATGTATGCTTAAATCTTTAAAACTACGCATCTGATTTTGATACGGTTTTTTAATAGATAGAGTGGTTCAAGAGGAAGGTTTTAGTATATAATTTGTTAAGTTTTTGTATACATTGGCTATAATATAACGATATTTGTTGGAGGTGTCGGAAAAAATAAGACGCCTGGGAGCTTTCAACGAAAACGCTGCCTAAACCCTTTGAGATATAACAAAATAATGAATGGTAGAATTGTGTATCTTATATAGGTCTACAGAAAAGTCCGCGATGGCATATGTCTATGTCTTAAGGATAACATACTATATCCATTTTAATTTAAAACGTACCTATGGCTATATTTTTGCTTTACACTAATATCCGTTATAAAGGAAATCTTGTTAAAATGCACCCTGCCGCTTTGGCGTCATACAGAATTAAACAGATAGACATTTTTGAATTTTTCATGTATCTTCTTTTATATCCTATATCTCATCCTCCAACTTTGAGCTTAAGCATTGATTAATAAATGTCAAAATTATTGTGAAGTATTTTTATGTGAATTAAGCACAGTTAAAGAATTGTGTATTTAAACATATCTTTTTTTTATTTGAAGTAAAGAGAAAAGTATATAAGCGTAGTTCTACTTCCCTTTTCGTAAAATTTCAGTGAAATACATTTAGAATTTATTCTTTTATTTTTAAATTATTATAATGATTCTTTAGAATAGATTTTATCAAAATTAAAAGTAATTTCACTTTGGTTTTATAATGGTATATGTTCACTACATTTACGATGAAGGTACGAGAAATAGAACGACCGCAGTCACGCGTGCTCACAGGAACGCAAAGAGAAGGAAAAAAATACGTTATAATTTTTTGTGTTTATTTCTTAACGAACATTAAATATGTGAAACTTGACATAAATTATTGAGAATAGGTTAATAGGTTCATTGAACTCTTTTTACTTGTCGCTTACTTTGCCACAACTTAATATCAGCTACCCACTAATATTTATTTTTCTCGGCGAGTCTTTTTTTTATAATCATAAAATAGTAAAGAGAAAATAAATAAATTTAATCAAAAATATTAATTCCAGTATAGTTTGAATCTTCAAGCGTAATTTATGAATGTTCCATTATTTATTTTATTTATTTCACTACCTTACGTTTTGCTTAATATTTTATTTTATTAGGCCGTTTGTATTCGTTTTTATTATTAAATGGATAGTGACTGGATTATGTTTATATGTACTTCAGCATAAAAGCACTTGGCGTGATTCGTAATGACATTAAAAAGTTTTCTTCTATTGTTATAGCTAAAGATGTACATAATTAAACTCGATATGAATAGAATAAAACTAAGCGAAGAAATAAACAAGTAAGGCTCATTGTACAAAGTAGCTCTTAAAATGTTTCTGTATAATTCTAAATATTACGAAATTTATGATATTTCCAAAAACCTTCAAAGCATTCATTTAGTAGTTTGATTCATTCGATGGTTCATATAGTGGCGACAAGAAAGGTTAATTATGTATCTGTTTTTATAATAAATAACCAAATTCTGAGTAAGAAAGAGTCTAAACTGTAAATAAAGCTATGAAATATTCTCACAATTTTATTGATGTATTATAAAAAGCAGTATTATTGTGATAGATATCAAAATTTCTTTGAAGAAATATTTCTGTTTGGTACTAAAAGAAATTCATAAAGTTCCAGTATAGAGTTCCATGAATAATAGGCTAAAGCATTGTGCCCAGCAATAAAACGGAATTAGTTTTCGTTTAACAATAGATTCCTTTCTAGAGTAAGAGTTATTGTTGATTCATGATCGTTACTTATCGGGCAACGTACAATAAAGTCTACGAGATTAAAATTTAACTTGCACACTGCTCTTTTTTTGCGTCCTTTTGATTTTATATGAGTGAACTGTACTCGATGCAGCATTTAACCCCCGTGCCTTTGTAGTTCCAAATTGTACAAAACACATATAATCTCTGCCGTTCTAGACAATTGCTGTTTAGTTTAAATAAAAGGAAACGTATTATTTTCCCTTAGGTAATAATTTTATTCCATAAATATATATAACGATATTTACTCGCGAGCGTACGAGTACCGCTGTGTCCCTACGGAAGTTCCGAAGGACAAAATACCGTGTGATATTTAGACATATAATATTTATAATATCTCTTTAAGTGTATTATAATAATATTTTTCATTTAATTATATAATTTAACAAATAATAAAAAAAACGGTACTTAATGTGCAGCCAATATCTGTAACGGTTATATGTATTCTACGTCAAATAGATATTATTAAATTTCATAATAAAACATTTACTTTTGGAAATAATGCCTAAACTATAAGAAATATCCCTGACTGAAATACTTATAAATAAACAAATTTATAAAAAAAGTGTGAGTTACAAGTCTCTGTTTGTAAAAGGAATGCAGCTAACTTCATCAAGTCGCTTTCAGCTAACTTGGCTGTCGGTGTGCGCGCGCATTGTAAAAATGTTATTCTCATATTACTTTTTTTAAACGTGCCAAAAAAAGTATAACTTGAAAAAATAAATTATAAAAATAAAAAGATGGGAACAAGTTGACAAAGGAACATAGTATTATGCAATAAGCAGTCATATATTCATGTTCTATATGGAAGCGATTCCTGCTACATCTATGTATCAATGTTTTGTTATAATTTATATACAGCTTTTTAGTTCTAGACAGTTGACGTTTAAAATTTTATTTCACAATTTGTTATACTAATTGACTTTTAAACATATAAGTTATATGTTTTTGTACTCGACACTTAAAAAATTTCAATGTGGTACCCCCACTCTATAGGCTTAAAAAGGAAAAAAAAGAAAAAAACACAAACTAGCGCCTGAGAAACGCCATTTGAATTTTAATAAAATCCATACAGCCTATATGACATACGTGGTATCAAGTAACGAATCAATCTAACGAACTATGAATCTTAAATAGTTTTATTTAAAATGTCAAATATTCGCGTAAATCTAAGAATGTATTATGTGAACTATGAATCATTAATCATTTACCCTCCTTTGGGCTACGCCGCCATCTGGTAAAATTAGGTAGGAAGGTACTAATATAATCTATACTAAATACTTAATATTATAAAAAGGTAAAGTTTGTGAGTTTGTGACGTTGTAGGGGGTAATCTCTGGATCTACTGAACCGATTTAAATTAAATTTGGTAAGAAGATAGTTTGAGACCCTAGGAAGGATATTTTTTGTCCCGAAAATCATCCCTTAAGGGGGTGAAAATGAGGATGAAAGTTTGCATGGGGAATCAACCTTGGGATGAACCCGAGCGAAGCGAGGGTGAGTCGCTAGTAGGTAATATAATACTAATATACTCGTATATTTATAGTAAAGGTAAACGACGTTAACGAATTAAAATTTGCTACTGCCACCGGTCTCTAAATAATGCTATTTAAGCTGAATAAAGCAAATCAAAGATCACTTGCGTGTCATATCATAACCATCTTTCTTGAAAGGCCTATTTCGTCAGCTCTCAATATTTCTTTTATCATAAAAATGACTTTGCATTACTAAAATAACCTATTTAAAGTATTTTCTCTTGAATCAGAACTTTTAAAGGATTTTTATAATATTGTTATAATAAAATTCAGGTCACTTACCGTATTAGAAAGTAGAAACACTAGATGGATTTTTTGTTTTATTGGATTTTTTTATAGAGTCATTAACGAAAAAATACGTGATTGTGTAATGTGTAGATACTACGTATCGCATGTATCGGCAAACGGCTTCATGTCATCATAAGTTGAGACTTTACCACCGGCTTAAAGCCTTAATTGATTAGAACTAGAGAATCGTATGAATATATTTGCGGTACGGTACGAAAGTATAGAGAAAATGTCAATCTATTATAGAAATCTTGATATCAAAAATGATATTTTGTTCGTTGGTAAGTGCTTCACTTAACATGAAAATGATTTTTGTATGGCAATTTGTATGAACTCAAACAACACATATTTTATTGAAATCAGGAACTTACGTCTGTCGGGTTAGCTATAAATAAATAATATTTCCAGTTTTTTTACTATCAATATAAAAAGTAAACATTTTAGTTGCAATTTTATACGTGTATTTATGTATTCACCAACCCTTGTTAGCGCAATTTCTTACAAAAATATATTGCGTAAT